AGGAGGGGTGGGGGGGGGGGTTGTACCAGCTGATGGGGTGAAAAGAGGAAAAAACAATATGCTGCCATATATCAGTAAGTCATTAAAAATTAATGCAAAAGTGTTTACAAACAAAGAGGCTTTAAACTTAACGTTAAAGCAACAGGGAGAGCAGTGCAATGAACGTGTTGTTATGATTGGAGAGCTGCTTATGTATACGATGCAGCCATCGTCTCTATACACTTCTGCTAAGCGTGTAGGAGCTTGTTAGCAATTGTTTGTGGTGCTGCTGCAATGCTCACACACATACACATATGGTAAGGATGTGCTTTACATTGTGAGGTTGTGACAAAGTTTTCAGGCCTACAGCACTTACAGTTTTCTGTGAGTAGACCCACTCCTGGTGTACCCCAGCATAGGTGAGGTCAGTCTTCACTCCTCAAGAGGTGTAAGCAGGTAACTAGAGTGATATCACTTTAAAAGACCAAAATTACCCTTGTTTAAGATTATGGCACATTCTCCACATGTAAGTAAATACAAGAATGTCAAATAAAAATAATTGCCTTGTGCTTTTTCAGCTAAGTAGCATGGATAATACTCATCTACTACTCAGGTGTGCCAGGAGGATGTTTATGAATGCTTTGAAGATGATTTTTTTCAAGTACATCTCTAAATATTGACTCTTCTAATGAAAACTCCTGTAGTATAAATTCAGACCATTTGTTAATTCCTAATTATTTAGCTATATATATATTTATACATGTATTTTTATGTTTATATTTTTATACATAGGTCCCATCAAAGCCTGTCCATTTACACTGCCTTTTACTTCACATGGAACTAATATTTTGGTTTAGAACATTTTCAGGGACAGCTCTTCAGTCAGTAGTGCTCTGTTGAATTCATGGGAGCTTTGCTGTTGTTTATCTAATGAAGATCCGGCTTTGAAAGTCTCCTCAGTGAGAGGCAACTGTCTTGAGCTCATTTTGAGAGGGTTTATTAACCATCTCCAGGAGTGAATGATAACCAAGGAAGCTGTATTTAAAATAATACAAACACTACTCAAATATAATTCCTCTCCAGCATGCCAGACCTTTTTGGAGTTCAGTGAAGTTGTACCATACTGTCAGACGTAAGACTCGTCCCCTTTGGAATAAAGTGAAAACAGAGTATTTGGCAGCATAAGGCAGGGGCTCTGAAACTCAACCCCACAGACGCTTTGATTGCTTAAAGGCAACCCATATTTCAAGCTGATTTCTCTGGCATTGCTCACAGACACTTGGAAGTAGGAGGACAGCATTGACAGTGCCACTTTCACAGACCTCACCAACACCGGTGACAAAGTACAGCGCTACCCAGAGCAAGTTACTCCTTTGGAGTCAGTGTCCTTTGGCACCGGTGTTGAGTCCCACTGCTTTATTTTGTGTAGCTCCAGTGAATCTGTTTAGGGGTGACCCAGCTAGTGTCATTCTTCTCTGTGACAAGCGTTACGATGGTGTGAAGTGACTCCACTTCAACCTCCCTGTTAATTCTTCTGGGCACACAAGCACCACCTACTTAAATACCCCAACTTGCTAAGTTTAGAATCACAGAATAACAGGTTGAAAGGGACCTCAAGGATCATCTGGTCCAACCTTTCTTGGAAAAAGCACAGTCTAAATGAGATGGCCCAGCAGCCTGTCCAGCTGAATCTCAAAAGTGTCCAATGACGGGGAATCCACCACTTCCCTGGGGAGATTGTTCTCATTGTGAAAAATGTTCCTCTTGTGTGCAGTCAGAATCTCCTCAGGATTAAATTGTACCCATTACCCCTCATCTTTTCCATGTGTCTCCTTGTAAAAAGGGAGCCTCCATCTTCTATGTAGCCACCCTTTAAATACTGGAACATGGTGATAAGGTCTCCCCTAAGCCTTCTTTTCTCAAGGCTGAACAAACCCAATTCTCTCCGACTTTGCTTATATGGCAGGCTTCCCCATCCTTTGATCCTCTTTGTGGCCCTTCTCTGGACTCTCTCCAGCCTCTCCACATCTTTTTTGTATAGCAGGGACCAAAACTGAACACACAATTCCAGATGTGGCCTGACAAGCACTGAGTAGAGTGGGATAATGACGTCTTTATCTCTGCTGGTGATGTACTTGTTGATGCAACTCAGCATCCTGTTGGTTTTTTGTTGCCACAGCAGCACACTGTTCACTCATACTGAGCTTGTTGTCATCCAGGTCCCTTTCCACCGAGCTGCTCCACAGGCAGGTAGATCCCAGCCTGTGCTGCGCTCCTGGAGTATGTTTTCCCAGGTGCAAGACCTTACCCTTGTTCTTCTGAACTTCATAAGGTTCTTGTTAGCCCACTCTTACAGTCTATCCAGTTATTCCTGCAGGGTGGCTCTCCCTTCTGAAGTGTCCACTTCCCCACTCAGTTTGGTATCATCACTAAACTTCATCAGGGTACACTTGGTCCCATCATCGAGATCACTTATGAAGATATTAAACAGTGTTGGTTCTGCAAGATATGAAAAAAAGTATCTTTGGCCCAAAGACCTAATAATCTAAATGCAGATAAAAGGACACAAGCAGAGTGGAACACATGATAAATCCTAAGCAGGACAGAAATGGGATTGATTTGATACCATTCTTTTTAATTTTTCTCTGTATTTCCCATTGTACTTTTTAGTTACAGGGTCTGATCCTCCATTGTCCAGCAAAGCTGCAGATTAATTTTCACTGCTGCAAAGAGGGTGTGAAATGCCAGAGGCAGAACAGCATTTTGTGACTATGTTAAGAATCTGTATTTAGGCACCATTAACTCTTGTTAAAATCAGCAGGATTTGGGGATGTGGGACTGTGGGCCATAGTGTACAGGTAACTCTTCCAAAGCTTTAGATGGGCTCTGCTTGGGGAAGAAGTTGCGTGTTGGGGAATGGATGGGAGGTAGGAACAGCCTCTGCTGCAGGGTTCCCATATGTTCATGTTCTGTAGGGGAGGGAGATGCTAGTCAACTCAGTGGTGTAGAGACATGATTGTCCCAAGTACCTGCTCAGTATATGGCTGTTGCTTAAATGCTTGGCTTTAAATTCATCAGAGTCAACAATAGGGAATTTAACTTTGGGACTGATTTCACAGGTTTTTCTCTGTCCTCTCTTTATAAAGACTTTGATCCTACAACCATCTGGATATTTTTGATGTAGAAACTCTCTGCTGTTGCAGGGCCCTATGAAAAAGCTATGTCCTTGATCTTTCCTGCAGTCTTTTATGGTGTATTGCACTTTTTGTGGAACTTCTTCCCATTTGCCCGGAGTCTGAGGTGATAAGATGTGTTTAGAGAAGTTTGTAAAATGGATGCTGTAGGGCTCTCTGAGAGTCTGTACATTTACCATGTGGCTGCCTGCAATTGCAGACCCAGTAACTGAAATGATCTTTTGCAGAGCTGCTTGCTGCTGGGCTCTGCAGTGATTGCTGTAGTGCAGTCTACAAATAGCTCATTTGAATTACAAGTCCTACTGCATCACCCACCTGTACTTCTTCATCTCTGTGATCAGCCAGTCTCCAATTTGAAACTGTCTTTGCCTGATCAAAGACTTACTGTGTTTGCAGTTTTTCAAGGGGGGTAAATTTTTTATACCTACCCTGGGAAGAGTTTGTTGGTTGAGAGCAACTGTTGAGTGATCCAAAAATTCTTCCTTAAATCCTTTCTTGTGATAAAACCAGCCATTTAAACTTTGCCTTCTGTAACACAAGGTCATAATCTAGATCTTAGCAAAGCTGCTAAAATCATTGCTGAAAATTGCTTAGTGTGAATAAGTTTATGAGAATGGCTTTTCAAACAAAGGGGAGGATTTTTTGGTTTTGATTCAAATGTTTGCTTCTGCATTCAGTATTTGCGTATTTGCTTTCTTCTGCCAGGCCTGCACATAGCACTTTCCTTTTAAGCCTACCATAAAAAGAAACTGTTAACACTGTAATACACAGCACAAAAGAATACAGTATGTTTCTTGCTCATTTGAAAGACACTGGTTCAATGGCAATTACTTCAAGCCCAAAGGGCAGGGTTTATCTGTGAACAGCCAAAGAGTGAGAAAGCTTGTTAATGTCAAAATTATTTGCTTAAGGAACGAAAAAGGGCTTCTTTTTTTTTTTTTTTCACCAAGGGAGGTGCAAGTAAGTTGGTAGTCAGGACAATGCCAGACTCCCCTGGCAGCAGAAAATACACCCTGTGCCAAGTATGGCCTGAATTTTTGGATACATGTCAAATGGCATCGTTTCTGTGAAAGTTGAAGTTAAATCACAGCAGAATCCAAAACATGAATTACAATTGCAGCTCCTGAGCTCTCCCCGATCTCCTCTCCTGTAGGTTGGCACAGCAAGGTACATGGCCCCTGAGGTTCTGGAATCCAGGATGAACCTGGAGAATGTGGAGTCCTTCAAACAAACAGATGTGTACTCCATGGCTTTGGTCCTCTGGGAAATGACATCTCGCTGTAATGGCGTTGGAGGTAAGTGCCATCAGTTTTCTTCTCTCTAAAAGTATGTTTGCTACTAGGTAGGCCACTTTTAAAGATAATTAATGCCTGTTTTTTCCTGTAACATCTTGAGTAGCTATGGATTTACTCAGTCTGGTTGACCTCACTGAAAATTATTGGAAACATAAGATAATTTGAAATATTAAGACCAAGAATCCCATTTACTTTATTGGAATGTTAATTCTGAAACCTAATGAGGGCCAGTTAAGTGTCACATTTACTAATTGATCATTTCAGTAAGAGCCATCCATAGGGATACCTTCCTGCTTTCCCAAAATCCCCAGCTGCTGCTCATCAGTTTTTGTGATGTTGCAAGACATCATCCATAGGAGAAATCAGGGGATGTTTGTTGAATGAAGTGCAGTAACAAAATAATAATGATTGGAACTGACTACCAGAACAGCTCCGGGAAGAACTGCTGTGCTTGTTCATATTCAGAGTTTGTTCACTGAAACAAAATCTCCATTTCTGCTTTGCCTAAAGCTGCCCCAGAATTCCCAGTGTGCAGCACTGGTATGTGCTAGAAATCAGAAAAGTTGCTGTTGAGATATCTGCATTACATATTGCCATGTTTGAAGATTTTCACCTTACTTCAGGGACCAAAATGAGGCTAAGTTGCATATAAAATTCTTCAGTCTGCTGGTATTGTCTAACATTCATTCTAACAAGAACTGCTGCACAATCCAGGGCTCTCACAGGCAGTCTAAGGAGTGGGGCTGATAAAGGTAACGCTAATGTGGATATTATAGTATGTATGCGACTATGATTTGTTTTGCTACCCGTCTTCCAAAACCACAGAGGCTCCCTTTTCATCAGACTTGGCTCGGTTGCATCTTGAAGGGCTGCCACAGAGACAGGACAAACTTGCAGGCTAGAGCACTACAGTATGGGGAACATGGTGTACAGGAGGGAAACCAATGTCCCGTGGGGAGGTGTGCATAGCTGCTCCTTGTTTCTCTGCTAACATCTGTGGGATACCACAAGGGTCTCCATGGAGGTCTCTGAGGCCACTTTGCACAGTGGCTCTGTGGCTGCATCACGGTGTCTGTGTGCAGGCAGGAGGAATGCCTGCACCTCAGTCTCCTCCTATGTCTGACCAGCATTTAGTCTTGCTGGGTGGGCAGGACTGTGGGCAACAGATTTGCCCCTGTTTGCACCCTGCCGGGAAAGCTACAAAGCTAGTATGTGTGCAAACAGCTAGTGCTGGCATAAAAGCATGAAAAAAAATTCTTTTCTAGTCAAACATTTCAGGGAAAAAACATTTGGTGCTTCAGGAACTGAACCTCAGTCTGGCTATTCCAAGGCAAACCTATCCACATTTAGCTGTCGTGGTCATGCCTGTTTCTAAATGCATTGGCACAACTTCAGCCTTTCATTAGCACTTTGTAAATGTGGCTGAGGAGATTTAAAACCCAAGAAAAAGGATCTTTGCCCTGTCTCTTGAGCTCTTTCTGTTTCTTGCATTTAGGAACTCACCTTATTAATATAAATATGAGCTGTTCACTGTGGAGCCTTTTATCTTTGCTGATGCCCAAGTCCCTTCCTGTTCTTATTTGCTGAGTACAGTGAAATGGAGATTGTGGCAAGAGCAAACCTTATTGCTGCTGTTCTCAGAAGGCAACTGTCTAAAAGAGGATATAAAGGGAGTTTCATAAGGAAGGAAAATCACCAGTGTTTTTAACTAGAAGAGACTGACCCATTATAACCTTGGGAAGAAGAGCTGAAGTAATTTCAGGAAAATGAAAGATTTCTCTGGCCCAGCAACCCCTTTGCTTTCAAGGTGGAGCTTAACCCCCACCCACAGCCTGATTTTCCCTATTCATTTCATCCCTCAGTCATCTTCATCGCCAGAAACACATTTCTTGAATTTAATTTCCTTATTTCAGTCATCTTTTCAGGGGCTGAAGTCCCCAGCAAAACCACAGGAGTACCTGGGCAGACCCGGGGGGTGGAATTTAGGGTTAGTGTCTTCATCCAAAGCAGTTGAATACAACTCCCAGGATGTAGCTCCCGCTCCCTTAACTTGTCACTGGTTCTGAGCTGCAGCAGCATTGCACGGTTTCTCTCATTTCCTTCTTACATCTTCCCCTGGTTCGTGCAGTCTGGCTAACTTTGCAACCAGCTGGTGAAATACCCTTACAGTGATTCATGGCTACAGCTCCCCCTCTGCTTTCTCTCTACATCTGTCACTCGTGAGACTCCCTCCTCTCCTCCCAGCCTTCCCAAGGAGCTGCCTCCCCTCACGCAAACCCCTCTTTTCTTCCTAAACTGTCGGGAACTAAGAGAAATGACCTCCCGTACAAGCTGGAGTGGGCTGACCTGAGTGCAGACAGCCTTTCCAAAGGAGCCTAAAAGATGGAGGCCTTGGCCGGGCAGGCTGGGCCTGTCGCTGGAGATACCTGTGGCACTTTAGAGGGCAGCAGTGGCAGCCTAAGCTGAGGCAGTGGCATTAGCAACTTAAATTAGGGAGGGAAGCGTGGAGGGGGGGATAATTGCAATTCAGCCAGGTGAAGGTATAGTGACTTATTTCTTTTATAAAGGGAGCTCTCTGGATTCATTTGTCAGCGTGCAGGTGTTGAGTGAGGGTGGGAGGCGATGGAGGCAGCTTTCACTACCGCGGCTTTGTCACACACAGTCTCCACGCTATGCCAGGCCTTTTCAGGCAGCAGACATTTAAACAAAAATACCCAGCAGCATAATCCATACTGTGAAGCTGCTGTAGTAAATAAGTAGGTGGGGATCGGCTTTCGAGAAAGGCCATGCTGTTCATTGTTACTTTGTTGTGCTAAATATGGAGAAACAGAAATGGGGCACGAGGGAGAGGGAGACGGAGGCAAAGATCGAGTTTGACTGATTTTTCACCAGAGTATAATTTAAGAGGCATATTTAGAAACTCAGCAATACTACTTTGGGGAGAACTTCAACTGCTCCACGCTGCCGTTAACTTGGTATTTCATTCAGCACAACAGCTGTGCACCAGATGTTGCACGTTGCAAGAAATACAATTTTCATCTCAACCACTTGCTTTCAGAGTGACACAGCTTTGGTGACTGAGGCAAGTGTAATTTCTCTGACAGCCTCCTAGAAAGAAAAGAAAACCATCTGTTTTGTATCGGAGCTGCTACAGGTGGGGGACTGTTGGGGGTGGCAGGGGAGAAGGAGAGGAAAGGGAACTTTTGGATACAGGGGGTTGGTGAAGAGGGAGAAGAGAAACCCCTCAGAAAATGGCGACGTTGCTCTTGCAGCATTGTACTGCCTGGAGTGGCGGCTGGCTTCAGTATAGCAGCAGGGCTTTGTTTGAAAAGGCAGCCTGGCTTTACCAGCGCTGCATTTAATGTGAATAAAATCACTGATTAATCTTATGCTTGCTTGGAAAGAGTCAGTTACCACAGCTTGGTAACTAAGCATTTGTGCATCCTGTACCGGGTGAAATGCTCAACTGTCATCATAGTGACATGGAGAGGTGACAGTTTCTGGTGGCAGGGAGCATTTTGATAGTCTGTGCAGAGAGGCTGTGCCTACACACTGGGCTCTGAGGTGGCTGCAGCTGGGGCCTGATTGAAACCTCCTCCTGTGGAACACAGCCCAGTTAGGGCACGTCTGCACTGCAGTGGCTTGTGGTGGCATATAACCCATCCACACAGTGCAGTGTCGCCCTATGACAGTAACTCATGTCTTAGAAATTCTCTTAAGTGTCACCACAGTACTACATTTGAGGTAGCTGGTGCTGTCCTTCAGCAAGCCCAGGTAGCAGTAGATAGGATCACTGCCCTATACTCCTTGTTGGGCGCTGATGTGCTCTGTGTTCCTCTAGTTTCCCACTTTGGGATACAGCACACAGTGTCTGAGCAGCCTGTAACTATACACTGATGGCAGAGCTCATGCACTCCCAAACCTTTGGAAGGATGGCTGTATCTTTGATCATCAGATGTGAAGTAACTTAAAACATGTCTGTGCAAGGGAAGCTGCACAGTGAGTTCACCCATCCCAACGCATCCTCACCCTTCCCAGCTAGCATCTATATTCTGGAGGAGTGGAATGGGGAAAATGGGAAGTAAGCATTTGATAGCTCCTGAAACTTGGCCCTGAAACAGCTTTCGAGCCTCTGCTTTATGCATTATAATCCTTTTGTGCAGCAGCTAAGTAGATCCACCACCCAAATTCCTCTAGCATGAAGAAAGACACAATCTGCACACACACGCAGGTGGGTGGGTGTGTGCATGAGCTGTCACAGTAGCTCCACCATCAATTGATTTATCCCTTCTGTGGCTCTCCCCTTGTAAATTCTAAAAAGAGGAGTGTTTCAAAAGGACCTTAAAGTTCCCACTGCTGTGAACTGTGCTTCCCAGTTGATTTTTGCTGGCCTTCTTTCACCTCACTCCTGCTTTGATTCTACAAACAAGCCTTAATCTTACAGCATGGGAAGTTGTCCCACAGAAATCAGTAAGACAGATCGCACGAGGGAGTGTCAACAGGGTTTGCAGATATGCTGTTCTGACCTAAAGGAAGAGAATCTCACTGCAAAAAGCTTGGAGTAGAAAAAGATCACGAGTGAGGTTTGTTTTTTTTCATGAGAAATTCACGGTCAAATTTTCCAAAGCATTTGTCAGGCACAACAAATAGATTTTCAGTAATGTCTCTGTTTGGGGCTAAACATCCAATCCCAGACTTTCTGAGAGTTATGGCCAGGCCAGTGTCAAAGGAAACCGGAGGTACAATCATTATTAGTGCAAGGTACCTCACAACCATAAAGATTAAATGCTGGAGGTTAAAGTTGAAGGAACTCTGCCGTTACTGAACACTAAAGGTGCTGTAGTTCATGGTACCTGAGGTATTTATGGTACTTCAGCCAGTTGTCATTTTTAGCGCCTGACTGGTCTAAAAACAGTCAAAAGAAGCGTATAAGGCATGAAAAATAGATTCAGCGTCTGTGTAGAGCCGTGCACAAGCAGCTAGGCACAAACATCTTAACCTACCTCAAATTGACATCTGTTACATCTACTATAGCACGTCAACATGATCCATGAATAACCCCAGCTATTACTGCAAAATGTGTCTGACACCTGAGATCCCACAGCATAAGGATGATTTACTGTGAGAGCATTCAGTGGGCTTTTCTTTCTAAGGGCGAGAAAAGCGTGATAATAAATAGCAAGAAGATGCTGCATGCTTTTCAGACTGAGGGAAGGCACAACTGTATTACTGTAAAGTCATTACAGTGAATTGGCATCTGGCCCCAATTTTTCTTTCTTTACCATTAAAAAAAAACAACAAACCAATCCAAAACCAAACAACAACAAAACCCAAACCTGAAAAACCTATTTAATCTTTATATTTGGAAGGGGAATGCTCATAGCATAGAAACAATTTCGCATACAGCTAAAATGTATTACAAACCTATCAATTCCTCAGGAAGGCTTTCCCTTCTCCCACTGGAACCCTCTCATGAAGGGCTAATGGCCTTCAGATTAAGCTCATCAAGGGGGAACAGGTCAGCACCACAGCACCAGCTTCCCTCTGTTGGATATTCAGACTCCTCTAACTCCTCATACTGCAGAAAGATCTCAGTGCCTTGGCTGGTGCCTGTGAGCAGTACCACAATACAATTACGACCATCAGAGACGGTGTAGGAAATGGCTGTCTAGATTATGCTATTTAAATTTTCCCAGCAAACTTTAAAATTTTGGTTAGTTTGAAAGTAGAGGTATCTGCTTTGTAATCATCAGGCATGCACTGCGTAGTAATCCAGGTCTAACCAGCAAGGTGGCAACTTCCCAGTTAACTTCTGTGGCCAGTCTTGTGAATTTACTTCAGCTGAGTAATCTCTAGCTCAGATTAATGCGGCTGAAACTGGTATGCCTTCTTCCAGAGGAAAGCAAGCAAAGTAGACTTTGGCCCTTGAGTCTTAAAGTAAGTGATTTACGTATGAGAAGATAAGAGTTGCATTTCAGGACTGTAGCCAGTCTCTAGAGCATTGCATGGATAGTGGCCAGCACCAGATGGTTCAGGAGAAGGAAGGAGAGCTCTGTGGGAGGCATCTGTGGAGTGATCTGCTGCACTGCACACACAGTTGTTTGCAGCTGGATCTCTAAAAACTGAACATTTGAAGCACAAGGTTTAATATCCCTTCCAGAATGTTTATCATAACTTGGCTATTCTTTTTAAGCATTAGGACTTCTTTTTCTGTAGCCTGATAAATTCTTCCTCTCATGGCCATCACGTAGAAGCGAGATCTACAGCCTAACTCTAAGGTTTTGGAGAAAAGTCCACCTTTTATTTATGTTCAATACTATCTTGTTTTTATCATGAGACATGACAGAAGGATCTGATCTGTGTTATCTTGATCATTATTTTTTTTTCAGTATTTTATCATATGACCTCTTACCTTTCTCTCCAAAGTAAACAAAGCCAAGCTTTAGAGGTTCTTCCCATTTTTTTCTGGGCCTTTAATCATTGTTATCACCCTTCCTGGAGCCTCTTTTTTTACTGTAAAATGCTCCTTGAGAGGAGTGAGCAGCACTGGACACTGCATTTGATCTTTGGTTGTAACATTACGCAACAGTACTGTGTCTCCCGTCTTGTTCATCTCTCTTCACACATCTTCTGGGCATTCACATGCATTCTTCAGACTGCCTTGTAGATTACACTTCAGTTTTTCTTCCCCTCAATTAATTCCTAGAAAGAAATAAGAGGCAGCAGAACAGGCCAACTTCATAAATCTTTATCTAATACTAGCAAGTCATTAGGCCTGTGAGTAAAGTCTCCATCTGTTCCCGAAGAAACCACAGCATTTTCTACACTGTGTCAGCATCTACTGTAATATTTCCGCTCTCAGAGTTTTCTTGAGTTTTCTCCAAAGGTCCCATATGTCTGCCTCTTCCTTTCTCTCTCCAAAGAAAAGCAAAGAAAATATGCAATATGCAAACAAAAACTAGAATGGCAGCAGCCCCTTCAGGAAGCTGTGCCCCTTGCATCCTGGGCCAAAACTGATCCATTTTGGGAAAGAGGCCTAAAATAAGAGCAGACTACTACTTTCTACAAAGGAATGAGGCTCAGTTATAAACAAGGGCAGCATGGCCGCTTCCAGCACTGCTCCTTACTCTATCTGTGTCCTTTTCAAGCAACTGTTTCCTCCTAGCAATCTGGCACATTAACATCTATCATGACCTGGATAGATTTCAGTTTGTATTTCACCTGGTAAGTGTGTGTGGACTGCAGGGCACGTACGGGTGACCAGTTCTTGCAAGCCTGGCTCAAGCAAAACTCACCCTGAAGCTCCTGTGTGTTCTGCCTCAGCACAGATTGAGAGGCTCACAAGCCATCATAGGTTACTCTGCTGCTCTGACTGTTGCTAATATGATTATGTACTGAAGGGTTTAAATGGAAATTGCTTAGTTGGCTGGGAAAGAAGAAAAGGAGAGGGAGGGGGCATGTGGGAGAAACACATTTGAAACATTTTTGAAAATGCCAACTGGCTTTGCTTTGTTTGGAGCTGGTCAAGCAGAACGGTGGCACTGAGCAGCTAATCAGTAGCTCCTACTCCTCCAGAGAACAGCCAGCTCCCTTCTCACTTGGCACCAGCGCAGCCCAGCTGAATGCCCTTGTGTTTGCTTATTCTCTTGGCAGAAGTGAAAGAGTACGAGCCCCCGTTTGGCTCCAAAGTGCGAGAACACCCCTGCGTGGAAAGCATGAAGGACAATGTCCTCAGAGACAGAGGGCGACCTGAGATCCCCAGCTCCTGGCTTAACCATCAGGTAAGAGCACTGCGTGCGAGCAGCTGGGGCTGCACCATGTGTTTAGCTGCTGCCTGAGCCTTGACTCGGTGTCCTGCCCCACAGGCTGGACCTCTCTTTTGCACAGATTAGAGCTCTGTCCCATGGCGACACCGGTGCTGCCGTGGTTCAGACACCACAGTGCTCTGCACCGTGCCTGCCTCAAAGCCCTGAGATTTCTGCTGCCCACCAGTGTAATCTAAAAGTGATCAAAACAAAAAGATTGGAAATCTGAGGTCTGACAGTCACCCAGACAGCCACAGAATAATTAGGGCCTTAAAGCAGACTGTGTGCAGGCTCTGAAAGGTCAAAGAGAACAACTTTGCACATGGGCCCCTTCAGCAGAGAAAACAAATCTCAGTAGTTTATCATGGAGATCCGTCATAGTTGAATCCCAGCTGTTGACAGGTTTAAGAAAATAGGAAATGAGTCTTCAGCAAGCCGGTCTGTTTTTATTCAGGTTGCGCATTAGCGGTCCCTTTCCCTTGCATGTCAGGAGGTGCTTGTCAGCTTTCCCCATTCATGGACACCACGGTTGCGCTTCCTAGGCCATAGCAGATTTCTCAGTAGATGGAACTGAATGGAAACAAGCCAAAGGCTTGCATTTCTTCACCTTTGCTCTGAGCAGTTTTATCAGTACAGATAAAATTAGAATCATATCAGAGAAGAAGTGAGGCTTGGTCATTCCACTTGTCAATGAAATAGGTTGAGTACTCTTTACAGACAAACGGAAAGCATCGTGAACGTTTATAAAAGCCCAGGCAACCCAGATCAGCTGGTATTTCCACCAGGAGCAATGTAACACTCCCTTTTTCATTCCAGTTGAGATGTTAAAATCATAGTCTAACACCTACTTAAGAAAGGACAAGTGAGTGGCCAAAATCCATCATCTTCCCAACCAAGAAGAACGCATCTGCCGCCTAATGACTATGGCAGAGTGCAGCCCCTTCCTGGACCACAGGGACTTTCTCCTTATGGAGTCATCTGTCATGAGTGGGGTTATTGAGGAGGGGCCATTAACTGGGGAGGAAAACTGCATTTTGAGGGACACCCGGATATCAGATACTACCTGTACTAAAAAGCCCTTGACATTTTTTAGGAGCCATAGATACAACCATCTTCTAAATGACAAGTTGAACTGGGAAGGAGAGATTATACTAATGCTTATCTTTATTGAAAAGAACTCATTGCAGAAATTTTGTAAAAATTGTGGATGTGTTAGTAAAAGGCATTATGAGTTGACTGCAGTTGTTTGTTTTCCACAAAGGCAAAATGAAGTCCAAACTGGTAATACATATGTGGTACTTCAGAAGAGCCCAATTAGCAAAGCAGAAAAGAATCCTGAACCAAATCATTTGGGAGAGAAAAAATTAAATATTAAAAAAATGCTTAAATTTAGGACAAGTGTGAGACCGTTTCTTAGGGTATTTGAAAGCCATGGTGTCACATGTGAAAAAAAAAATTAAAGAAGGGTAGATAACTGCTTAAGGAAATAGAGGAACAACAGGAAGATCTGTGATCAGCAAATGAGGATAATCGGAGTTTTCTCAAGAGCAGGAGGAAATCTAACAGTACCAATCTGTTGCTGTGTATGAAAGAAAGATACTGCACATGCTAATGCAAAGGCAGAAGTGGTCAGCAAATATTTCTGGTCTGCATTTGGGAAGAGTCAGATGATGTACATGTAAAAGAAGGTGATGAAGGCCCAAGGTAGTGGAGCAGAGCTGTAAGATACACCGTGAATTTTGTCACCTCTGGGTTTACACAGCAGGTAAAAACAATCACAGATTTGGACCTAGCTTTCCTGCACTCCACTTCAGAGATTTCTTGCCCAGGTAAAAGCCAGACCTCAGCGTGCCCCCAGTACAGGGCACCCCACCAACTGGGAGAACCGTGGGGCTGTGCTTGTGTGTCACCAGGATGGGCACACCTGGCTCCCACAGGGTTCAGGTAAGAGTCTGAGGCAGGAAGTGGATGCCTGGAAACGCGCTCGCAGGACATTTAATGAAGGTGGATTTAATTCCCTTGATCTGAATCCCTCCAGCGTCTCACACTGCACTAAAGTGGAGTGACACATCAGCTTCCGTGGGGTGGGACAGTTTGCAGCAGCTGAGGATCTGCTTTGAGCTCCATAGAAGTTGCTCTTACCATAATAGCTCTTCCATATTCATTTCCTTCCTCTGCAGTCATGTTTTTGTAATGAACTCATTATTCATCATGATAAAATTCTGGAATGGATTTACATATTACAATTTTTTCCCCCGTTAATGAGATTTGTTGCACTATTGATTTCAAGTTAATGTTTAATATTTAATTTAATTTACTGCTTGTAATTTCAATGCCAGCAGAAAACTAATGTTATTTGTATACAGACAATAACGTTATGCTATTAACATTGACATCAGTCAACATCACCAATTAGGTAAATTATGCAATTAATGCAGTGTTGTGAAATGTTATTTTTTTTTAAATAAGAAGTTTAAGATAAATCCTACTTAATGGGCTTTTAGTGTCATAAAGCAAAGCACACAATTTCCTGGCAAATACCTCATGTTTATAAAACGCATTACAGAGATGCAACTGTTTTTTGCTCCTGTAAACATGTGCATCAGTATTGAAATGAAGGTTAAATAGTTACATCTGTGAGTGACATGTGTTTAAGTGTTTGTGGGCCTGTGGCCCATATTTGCACTTAGATTTAGTTAGTCTGCAAGGAATTCATAAAGGGCTGATGGAGGGCTTGACGTTGCCGGCAATCAGGATTTTGTTTGAAAAACCCAGACAGAATTCAGGCACGCAGAGGAATGGCTGAAGCAGGAAGCCATGTTACCCAAGAATTCTGATTATATTTATTAAAAAGAAACCCTACTTTGTTCTGTAGAGCTAGTTCAAAGCATCGTTGGTTTTTTGTTAAAAAGTATATATATTTCTTTGTTAAAAAGAATATATTCCCAGAAATTACAGTACTAAGGTGCGGAAAGTATTGTAGTAGGGTTTCTTTTTTAAAAAAAGAAAAGATAAAATCATGCCCCCATGGCAGTAGCAGCAGAGCCCATAAAACACCTCCAGGACACATGTGAACGACCCCCCAAACTTCTGAGGGCATTAAAGCAATTCTCACACAAGGTCTCTGGCGGTGACTCCCCCACCACGGCTGCTCGCTCTGTCTCTGCAGGGCATCCAGATGGTGTGTGAAACTCTGATCGAGTGCTGGGACCACGACCCCGAGGCCCGGCTCACGGCGCAGTGCGTGGCGGAGCGCTTCAGCGAGTTCAAGCATCACGACAAGCTCTCGGGAAGAAGCTGTTCAGAGGAGAAGATCCCTGAGGATGGCTCCGTCACCACCGCCAAGTAGCGTGCGCCCAAGAGCTCTGAAAGGGAGGGAAGTTGCTCCTCGACGCGTTCACCTTGGCAGAGGAAGAGGTCTCCATCGGTGCCTTGACTGGCTTCCTGGAGGACTGAGGCTCTCACTACTCCCTGTAGGCTCCGGCTCTGGGCAGGGAGATGTATTGGTGGGAATTCAAAGCCGGGGAGTAGGTGTCATACCCAGCATGGGCTGCCGGCATCATGTCATAGGAGGAGCTATGTATGTTAGCACTTCCTCAGGAAATAAGATTTGAAAATAGCCAATAACATTATGCACTTTATTAATGCCTGTATATAACTATGAAATTGCTATTTTTATATATATATACATATATATATATAAAATGTGTGTGTATGTATATATATATCTATATATATCTATCTATAAACAGCCATGCTCTGAAAAAAATGAGTTAAAAAAAGAAAAAAAAGTGCTTCCAGGAAATTACCGGTGCATTAGCAATCTCTCCCCCGTAGGGAGGGAGCCTGGTGTAGCACACACCAGCGATTGTGCACTAAGCGCTCTGCCAAAAAAGTTAGGAATAATATGCAGTAAGAAGATGTCTCTTCAAGCATGTGCTGTAACCAGCCAGCTGTGGCCCTGCAGTGCACAGCGGCCCAAGCAGTCTCTGAGCAGACAGGCCAGCTTGGCTTTGCAGTTGTACCTGAGCAGTCCTGGCTGCAGGGCGTTTTGGAAAAGGTTCAGGGATGCCTTTGCCCTCTCACCTTAACCCCAACATCCTCCCAGTGTCCCAGAACGGGAGTGCGAGGAGGTTTGGTCCTTCCCACACGTGGGTTTCAATACAGAGGTCACTAATGTTATATGTTTATTGCTTTGAGTTCATGCTGCTTGCAAGCAGGTTGCCAAACATGGGCAGGATGAGGTTTCCCCTCCTCCCATCCCCACCCCCAAACCGTACAGAACAAGAGAGGGCCAGCAATAATCCAAGCAGATGTTTTATATTTGCTGTGCATTCTAAGTGCAGGCAGTACTAATGGCTTTTTTTTTTTTTCCTTCCTTTTACTTTGATTGTGTTGCTGTAAGAACAAAACTTTTTTTTCCTGTACAGCACATCTAATTGCTGGAGACACCACAGTCTGACTCTTCCATGCTTTCTAGAGAAAAGTAACAGACAATAGCCAGTGCCTTTTATTTTTGCAAAAGGACCTTGGAGGTGAGGGAAAGCTCTGTAGCATTAGGTTAATGGTATAGCCTGCCCTCAGCAAACCAGCAATTAATAGAAAAAAAACAAACCCCCCCAAACCCAAGAAAAGATGTTTTATCCCCAAAAGATCCCTGAGACATTGCTTACAGTCTTTCAGTTTTCCAAAATATTTAAGACAGTTGACATCACATTGGGCCTATATAAATGACAGCATTAGTAAGTGCTAACAAGTTTGTCTTCAGGACTTTTGCAGTGATTTTTCCACCTTTTTCTTCCCCACAGCATGTAAGCAGGTCTTGGAAATTACAAATTCAGCCAGCACAACCCAGTCCTGTACAGATGGATCGGGTGCCATTTATCAAACACCTTTGACAGATAAACATATCTCTAGAAGACATTGCCGTGTAAGTCAATAGGAATCATGCGTATTCAAATAGGAGTTAAGATTTATGATGTCAAATATTTTATTTGAAATGGTTTTGTATCCGCTTTTTTCATTCTAACCAAACTACTCAGAAATATTTAAACCGAATGGGACAAAGCCTCAGCAACTACAGTGGAATTCAGAGGATACTATGTCAAATTTTATAGGGGGGGCTGGCGGGGGAGGTGGGTTTTTTATAAAAAGCAGGAGAGCGGGGAGCAGAGCTGGCGGCGGCGGGGCCCGCTGCCCTCTAGCGACGTGAGGCCGCCTCGGCTGCCCGGAGAGGGGGGAGAGGGAATGTCACCACCCCCTTTCTCTTCCACCCACGCTCAAGGTCAAGGAATGGCGTCCGGTAGTTCCTGACAATACTGACATTTTTTATGGTTGGGGGTTTTTTTTCACTACTTACATGTAAAGGAAAATTTCTATTCTTTTAAAGGAATATTTCACCTGTACATCATGTATGAAATAGGAATGTGAACAGTTATATACTCTTGTATATCAAATGTTTCGAACACTTAACTTGCTTTGTAAACAGTTTGGGTTTTTTTTGGTTTTTTTGGTCTGTTTTGTTTTGTATAAATCAAATGTTTATTGGAGCAAATAAAATAACACCAACTCAAGTTCATCTTTCATCTTTGGAGCATCCAGAATAGGGAGAGGGCCCTTCCTAAAATGAATCATGGGCTCTTTTTGGTTGGAATAGACATTTAAGATCATCAAGCCCAACCATTAACCCAGCACTGCCAAGTTACCACTAAACCGTGTCCCTCAGCACCACACCTACCTGTCTTGTAAATACCTCCGAGGATGGAGACTCAACCTCCTTCCCTGGGCAGCCTGTTCCAATGCTTGATAACCCTTTCAGTGAAGAAATTTCTCCTAATATCCAAGCTAAGCCTCCCCTGGCACAACTTGAGGCCATTCCTTCCTGTCCTATCACCTGTCACTTGGGAGAAGAGACCAACTCCCACCTCGCTACCACCTCCCTTCAGGTAGCTGTGCCTGACTGTCGTGCCGAGTGTGTCTGGTGGCCTTTGCCCGTGTCCTGCCTTGCTAATGACTCCTTCCCTGAGTCTCCACCCTGCCCCCCAGCAGGCCAGCACTAGCAGACACCCAAACCTGCAGGTCCATTAGCCCCTGCACTGTAAAACCTTCACTGGTCTCAGGTGAGGGGAGGGAGAAGAGGGCTCACAACTGACGCGCATTTCTCAGTGCAGCTCAGGCCTTAGTTAAAGCTCAGTGGGTTTGGTGCTGGTATTAGTGTGAGGCAGAAGACAGCCCACTAAATCTGTGTCACTGGGAGCGTATGATTAATGTGCCTCTGCCTTACAGCTACTACTCTCCAAGTTTTCATCTTTTTAAGCTGATACCCCTCCCATGGAACACATGCAGAACACAAACACCACATAAACAAAGAGCGAGATACCTACCTCCCCCCTCCTTAAATTGCCAGGAGGGGGACTTACGTTGAATCCAAGCCTTTACACAGGATGCAGTCCACCAGTGCCTGATGTAGACATCTGAGGCTCTCCAGGCATCACCCTTTTTTTTTAAGGGCATGTCATTTGACGCCAAAACCTGCACCAGAGCTCAGCCTGGCTGCATGAGTATCTCCTTTGGAACCAGGGTGCAGTGGGGACAGGTCGGGACAGGACCTCCCCCAGCTGCAAGGCAGCGGGGCCAGCACCAGCCTTGCTGGAGTTGCTCTGACATTGAGGGGAGGTGGGATGGTCTACACCCTCCCCGACCCAGCGAGCATTAACGGTGCAGTTTTCCCTTCTTGGCCATTCCTTAGCAAACACCAGATACAAAACAGCCCTCAGCTTCCCTATGGACACGCCAAGCCTCACTGCCCACACCTCTGTGGTGTCCAGCAGCACCCTGCTGAGCCCTAGACAAGCCCAGCATCACTGTGGTCAGCCCCAGCATTTGATGGTGCACTGGTGGCAGTGGCCACTCCTCACCTGATCTCACCACTGGCCACATATTGGTAAAACTCTTCAGGCCCTGATGTCCTGTTTACATTGGCTCAAAGGCAAAGTCCTTTTGGCACAACAAGGCAAACAAGTGTTGCAAAAAGAAATATAAAGTGTATTAAGAAACTGTAGCAGGCAAACTTCAGAGACCTTTCAGTCGTGAAATAAAGTACACAATATCCTTGAAATAAAGCACACTACAGCCTTTCAATATTTTTCCAATGAAGGCTTTTGCCCACCTTTTTTTGTCCTGCAGATGGTAGTCAACATCCTTCTGTGAGTAGCTCTAAATTAGTATGTCAATCACCATTTTGACACCAGGATACACAGCAAGGAGGCTCCACCTGTGCAATGCAAGGCCATACCTGGGTTTGCTGCTTGACCAAGCAATGGTTTAAACTGGATGGCAAAGCTTCTCAGAGCAGAGTGCCTCCACGTTACCAGTTCACACAATTCCCAGCACAACTGGCATTCCACCCCATTCTAGGACATTCCCAACTCCTACTGGAAAAGACATAAACAATAAAAGAAGAAATAAAAATCATGACCCAGCTCTTGGGGGCAGGGTGGGGTGTGAGAAAAAGAAAGACATTAAGACATCGTTATTCTGAATGCTCCTGGAAACAGAACCACATGTAGAGCACCTGCAAAATTGTCCTCTCCTCAAGCCAGCTGTGCTGGGACCCAAGGGCTTTCTTCCCTTCCAGAGAAACACTGATTAATTTATTTCCTGATCCTTACCTCTGTCTCTCTCTCTTGCTTGCTTTTTTTTGAGGGGGGGGGAGGGAAGATTATTTTTTTAATAAAATGCTGCCTGTGGCAATTTTTCCCTCTGCCTACAAAGAACATGGAGCGAATTCTGTTCCAGACTGTCTACTTGTTGTTCCTGAGTGCAGTTTGGCTGCGTTCATGCTGCTTATAACTTGGCAAACATTCATGTAAGTGGGTGAACACCATGTGTGTTTTCAGAAAGCTCTTGCTGAGATGTGCCAAAAATTCCTGCCTCATCCTCGATATAAGTGGCACACCTCACTGGAGGATTTTGGAGGGGTTTTTCCAGACACCTGCAATCCTGCTGGGTTACATTTCCCAGCGTGACCCACGTGACCCAGTTGGCCTGAGCCCATGGTGTCCCAGCCTGGCTTCGTGGACCCTGTTTCCTTACAATGCCGTGATCTATTGGCAGCTCTCACCTGTTTTTGATCTCCAGCAGCTGAAAGGCCTTGCTCACGGGCAGAAAGCTGAGGACAAAGTCAGAGGTTTGTTGAAATACAGCCAAACTGGGAGGACCGAACCCAGGAAATACATTTAAAACTCTTGACTAATGAATGCTTTGAGCACCATCTAATCACTTCATGAAGAGGCAAACGCAAAAGGCAGCTCATAAATTACTTGCTGTGAGTGATTTGCTCAGTTATAATGGTGATAGACCAATCTCTTCAGGCCTTAAAAAAAATAAAATGGCAACCCGATCAAGCCTGCATGATGAAACACTCACTGCTGAAATGCCTGCTTTGAAAATGTACTGCCATGTGAAAGCAGGTAGAGCACAGATCCCCACCACTTCTTCCCAGGTTACCCACCTCACGTGCGTCCACACGGGACCACTCACAGCTGAAAACATTCCCTCCCTCTGCTGCAGCAAGTCTTTCCTGTGGAAGAAGAAACAAAAATCAATTCACCCACTCTCTTTTTTCACCCATTTGTGGCTTCGAGCACAGGCTGCCTCTTTCCTCTCCCTGCTGCTCCTCTCCTCCTCCCAGGCACCTTCAGGTGCCTGGAGTGGGGCTGCAGAGTGCCCTCCCTCCTTCCTCCATTTTTGGATCAGGGCACTGGTCTTTCTCTCAAGAAGGCAACTCACAGTATCTGTGTTTCAGAACAAGACCTGCATGAGATAGTGGGCTGTAAGCATTGAGCTCAGCCTTGCATGACTGCCCGAAGGGCACCTCACCATCGCTTCTCCTTAGCTGTCTTGCTGCCTCTCTTTCCACTCCAGTCCCCTCCTCTCCCCAACAGGGACTATCCTGACACCAGGGATCTGCTCTGCTCTGGAAACAGCGCCCAGGTAAACCCATTGAGTACATCTGTTTGATATACCACCACTTTGCCTATTTAGTTCAGAAGTGATGCAGAAGAAGCAAAGCCCAAAAGAAATACCCATCATACGTGTTTCTAACAAACTTGCGTGGAGCTGGCAGGAAGGCTGCAGGCCAGGCTCACTGGCTTTCTGCTTCAGCCTGAGTGGTTGCACAAGGCTCCCTGGACCAGCACTGTCTCCTTAGTTTCCAGAAGGAGAGGATGACCACATTGTCCTCACCTGGTATCCCCTGTTTGTCATCCACACAAGTGATGACTGGCACTACCCACTCCTGCTTCACCTTCGACTCTCACCATCCCCCATGAATCCCACACCCTAAGCCAGGCATGACAACACCCCTACAACACTTACAGCCCTACTGCAGCAGGGCTTTCTGCAGTGCACAGCTCACTCGCCTGCCAGCACGACGTAAGGACCTTTGAAATATCCCGGTTTTCACATTGTGCCTCAGCCACCAGCTGCCTGCACGTGGGGCTTAGGGGAGGGCTTTATTTCAGGATGAGTTAAACCAACGTGAGATGCAGGATGCCTTATGAGAGCCGTGGTTCTGATCTGCCTTATCAGAACGCCTCACCACCCCCTGAACAAAGCCCAAACCTGGCATTTTCTGTCTCTCAGAAAGAGCTCTAGAAATAGACTTCCTTCTGTTAGAAACGTGCCAGGGTCCTCACACTTCAACCTTGCAGGAGGCCATTTAAGATTAGAAAATGTTTTACAGAAGATATGGATTGCATCTAATTCCTGCTTTTGCTTGAAGGTGAAAACTGTCTTTCTAGTTCTCAAACAGACGACTATAAACTTCTCCTGAGATAAACATCTGTCTGTGGCTGCAAATGTTTAGCTTTGAAAGGCTGCTTTTTATTTACTGACTTCCTTATACATGTATGTGAGTGCTGAGAGGATCTCTACACTCATCTAGCAAAGCTGTCTATGCTATGACTACCCACTAAAATAAGATTATAAAATTATTGATATTAAATTGGGAATGTATCATTTGATAATGTCTAAGAAATGCCTCTTCAGACTCAGAAGTGCCAAGGGTTGTTGCTTCAGAGATTGAGATGAAACTACAAGGCCTAATCTGAGCTCTTTCAGTGCATCATTGCAATGATTGTTTGAGAATTATTTAAAGTAAAACACTATTTTCTGAAAGAGCAAAACATTTTACACAGGTTATATGAGTATCTGGAATGACAAAAGCAGTGTTTCATCTTTGAGCCAACAACACTGAACTAAAGGCTGTCAGAGAAAGGCTCTGGTAAAAGAAAATACAAAGCCCATCTGTTCACGTCACCAAGAAAAACAGCTACAATGTGCTGCCACCAAGAAGAATTCCAACCTGCAGCACATGGGTTAACGGACAGCAGAGTCAGGAACAGCCCATCCTGAAGAGAGGCACTTGGCAGGTGAAAGATGGTAACTGCTGATACTTGACTTCAGCCTCATTGCTGGAAAGGTAAGGTTTCCTCCTTTGGTGAAATTAAAACCAGAGTATCGATTCTCTTCAGCTGGGGCACTCACTTTCCATCAGCCACCCAGCGGCTGGAGGCAGAAGAAAGTAGGTCATACATTTAATTAGCTAAAAGGTTTTGAACAGGACATAAATCTCCTACCAGGATTTTTAATTTTCCAATTGTTAAGCCTTGTACACTTTTACACAGACTTGCTCATGTGCTTTGGCTACAACTCCTTTTGCTCATCTAATCCCATGTGAGAAGCAGGAGCAGTATTTCTGTAACGTGACATCACCGATACTTCAGCCTCACCGCTGAGGAGGAGTTTGCAGAAGCAATTTGCAGGGGATTAGACTGAATTTTTTCTTGCAATGCTTTGAATGGCATAGCGAAATGCTCCCGTGTTTCAAGGCATTAATGGCATCTCCCATTAAGCAGCAGGTTGTTTAGCCTGAGTACTTCTGGAAAGGCTATCTAAGCCTTATTAAATAAGGAGAAAAAAAAAAAAGAAAAAATAAAATGCAATTTCTTTTTAATGTAGGACTGTTAACATTAATTTGCTTGTCTTGAAATAATTTCTGAGATGGTTGCTTTAAGAACCTAATCTTAACAAAGCCATAGGAAATGGAAGAAAGAATTTAAATTAACTTACTTCATCCATTTATAAATTGTTTAGGTTAATCACAGTAAACCAAACAGGATTCAGCCATACTTAAACACAGCCTTTTGCCCAAGTATAAACTGTTTATTATATCCACGACACACAACCAGACAAAATTCATTCCTGATCTGGGGAAGAGTCTAATTTGGTTTTATTAGCTGTAGAGGAAAACATTTTGGCATTTGCTCCCGAGAGCAAGCGATAGAGCAGGGTCTCACCACCTTCACCACATCAGCAGCTTAGCCTAAAACTGGCTCTAAGGCAGGGCAGGCCCACGAACACAGGCAGCAAATGGACCTTACAGGGACCTTGGAGTACCTAAAGGGGGCCTACAGAAGAGAGGGGAAGGGACTCTTTATCAGGGAGTGTAGTGATAGGATGAGGGATAACGGTTTTAAACTGAAAGAGGGGAGATTTAGATTAGATATCAGGAAGAAATTCTTTACAACGTGCTTCAACAATGTGCTTTTCCCACCAACATATGGAAAGTGCTCATAGAGTAGCTTAATGAGTGGTGGCTCTTTTCTTTACGTGTTTTCACGTTGCTGCTAATGATACAGAGTATCAGGTTCAAAAATCCTAGCAAGAAATACAATGAATTTGTACAAAGAAATTTTTGCCTTTCAATTTTCCACTGAGCATTTTGACAATCCTTGGTGAGTTGATTTCCACGTGGGTTGGCTAGGCTGGAGCTCTGTATTTTTGCCCTACTTGCCCTGATGTGCAAGATCAATCTTATCAGCTTGTAGTAGAGATGAAAATTTATGTCATGAACAAACGCATGAAATAAGCTTTGGATACAGGGTCACACTGGTCAAATGATGATGTTCATCGTTTCATCTCCTTTTCTATATGTGCAGCCAGTACATTAGCAATTGAAATCTGTAAGTGCTATAGAGCAAATGATTCCTCTCACGATCCTAACACCGTGTTTCTTGTTTGAACCACACTTCTTGGAAATAATAAAATTATTAACTTGAGGCTATTAAATGTTCTGATGAATAACTTGTGTATGCCTGTCGCTCTGTTTTGCTATACTTTATGGTAAGAATTGCATTTTTAAATAGTGGCTTTAATTGTCTTCAAGGAGTAATTAAAATTAAATTATACGTATTGTGAGCTGTACATAGTGCTTCATTAAGACAATAATTATGGGGGAAGGGCTTTTAATTGGACAGGGGAGGAGCTTTTTTTTAAAATGTCCTATGCAAATTTCTCCTACATGATTGTGCTGAACTCAGGACCAGAGCACTGTCTTTGTCTTCCAGCTCTAAAGAAACCCAACAAACTAAATACTGAGGGTATTTTTATGAAGACCATAAAAACCCAAACCAAACCAACCAAACAAACCAGAAAATAAATCCCTTCAGGAAGAACTGCACAACTGAAAAGAAGGGTGGTTGGAAGGGCCAAAATGTTTAGTACTCACTTGGGTCTATCAGTCTTCTCTCTACCTACAATCAGGCAGTAAAAGATTAATTCTCAAACCAGCACTGACTAAGCCAGGGTGGAAAAACACATAGATATGTCATATTGTTTTAGCCTGATTGATTTGGATGAAATTCATCCTCACAATCCCAGATCCATTCATGCTTGTCTTTGACTACTGTGATTCTCCAGCATAAAAATGGGAGTTCACATCTGGCAGCAAATCCAAATGCACATCATGGCTCTGTACCAAGACAAGCACTTTTTCCCAATGTCCAGTCTGAACTTCCCCAGATGCAGCTTCATCCCATTTCCTCATGTCCTGCTGCTGGTCACCAGAGAGATGAGCACCTCTCCCTCCACTGCCCACCTTGAGGATGTTGTAGACTGCAATGAGGACATCCCTCAACCTTCTCTTCTCCAAAATGAACAATCCAAGCGACCTCAGCCACTCCTCATATGTCTTGCCTTTGAGACCTTTCACCACCTTGGTTGCCCTCCTGTGGACACACTCCAATAGTTCGATGTCCTTCTTATATTGAGGTGCCCAAAACTATACACAGTAATCCACACAGTACTTGAGGTGGGAGGTGCACCAGTGCAGTGCAGAGTGGGACGATTGCCTCCTTTGACCAACTAACTATGCTGTGCTTGATGAGAAAGCATAATCCTCTTTAGTGGGAGGAGTAATTAAGTATACAGATACCTCACGGGGAAAAGCCATGGGGAAAAGCTGGCCAATGAAACTCTAGTGCTCAAAATAGATCACAAATCTAACAAGATTCAATAGCATCTTGCTGTTACAAAAGAAGGTGAACATCATACTGTGATGTATAAGCAGCAGCAGTGGCTGAGAGATGTACAAAGTGATACTGCTCTTCTTTTAAACCCTGGCAAGGTTTCAGAGGAATGCTTTTTCTCATTTGGGGCAGCAGAATAATCAGAAGACTTAGAAATATGGCCTCTGAGGAAACGTGGGAGGAATTACTGTAATTCAGAACTAGAAAAAGAAGATAACTAAGGAGCAATAAAATAATTGGCCTTTGAAGATGTTGAAGTTGCAAGGACAAAAAATATGTGTTGGCCCTAATCATGGTGGATGAATCAAGTACAGCAGGGAAAATCTAGATTATCCATTAAGAAATTCTCATGGGAAGGCAGCAGAATGTCCAGTAATTTTGGTCATGAATTATAGTCTAGGCAAAGGTTAGACACTAGTTTCCTGGTATCACTGACTCTATCTTAGGATGCAGGTCATATAGTCTCGATAACATCTTGAGATCTTTTCCTGCCACAGGGGTTGCAGTTCTATGTTCAGTCTGTGTCTCCAAAGGCCTGAGTTCAGGGTGGTCAAGAAGCTGGAAATTTTGTTCTATGGGAAATTCCAAAATGTGCTGGGGCACAGGGGCAGGACATCCTCTTTCATAAGCCACCATAGTACATCGATCCTTCTCATGGAAAGGAAAATATACAAAAACCCCCAGACATTTAGGTTGCTTCAGAATAAAATCAAGTCTGGAAACTCAGCATCCTGAGGCCATACAGCTTAAAAGTGGCTTGTATGCTCTTGACTCCATTTTTTAACCTTGGTAAAGAGAAAGAGTAAGAAATCGCTGCACAGCTGAGGGGCTCAGAGTCAGGGAAGTGCATTTGTTACAGCCCTCTGAGCTCCCCATTGCTAAGCTTGGATGCCCCAAACCCACCAGAGTCATCATGGGTTACACAGCATGGAAATATATTCCCATCACTATTTAGGCAGGATGGCAAGAAATGATCACAGGTCTGCATGCATTTCCCTAAGGTCCATTGAAATCAAACGTTTTCACAGGAGACAGCCTAAACAAAAGTTTTCTGACAAAGCATTTTTGTCTGAAAAATCCCAAGAAGTTTTAGTTTTACTTCCCTTCTCTACCACATGCGAGATGTCCAGGAGTGCTCTTTGGAAGAGACATCCTGTGTGGCACAAGCTGGTTACCAGAGGACACACCAGTAGATGGAGCACACGACCAGTCAGCGCTGCTCTTTGGCTCTGTAAAACCAATCAATATTCTCACTGTTCACTGCTCACAGCTTGAGACAACAGAGCTGGGGGACAGACATCTGGACTGGCACCAAGCCTGCCATCCAGCTAGGGTTTCCTTGCTGACTGTCTCCAGAAGACCTGCTTTGATGTTTACCACCAAATTTCTTGGCCGGCTGACTTTATTTATATGGCATTTAAGCTTAGCTCATACACTATTATTTAGGCCATCATTGTATTTATCCCCACAATTTCCTGTTTCACAAGTGTTAAGTGCATCCTACCTCTAACCAAAAAATTCTTGAAGCATTTTGCAAGTCCCCAAAGATTTTGCACTTTGTTTGACTGAGTCTCCCCTGCCGTGAGCTCTTAAAATCACCTAGTTCTTCATGTGTGTCAAACTCTGAAATTTCCAACCAAGCTTCATCAGTAAATTTCATTAATATATGACTAACTTTTCTGAAAGGGTTGGTGATGAGAGTATGAAGCTACATTAGCCCAGAATCAATACCAGTACTTGAGTGGTATCTTTCTTTCTTTCCTCCTCATTTTCATCTTTCACTAGACAGTCCTGCCCACCTTACCTTTTCTTTTCTGCTTCCCATCTTATGTAGGTTTTCCCAAATGACACCATATCAAATACTCTAAGAGTCCAGCCTAGAAAATACTTTTTTCCCCAGCAAGCTCTCTGGTTAACCTAGCACCACTTCCCTCTGCTAAGTCTGTATCACACTATGTCCCATTTTTCACTCACTACTGTCTCCTGTTAGACTCCTTCCACAATTTTTCTAAAACCACAGTGTAAGTTTTCACAAAAATAGAAGTTTTAAGTTCCTTGTACATCATTCTTCTATAAAATAGGACAACTTACATTTCTTTCTCTCATCCTCTGTCTTCTTTAGGCCAAGTTGGTCTCCCACGTTGTACAGTACACAGTGAAGCCAGGATGTTCCTGTTACCGTAGTTCTGGCGAGAGCAATGTGGTCGTCATTTGAGCATCTGGACAAATCCATTACTGAGAAAAAGAAGGCAAAATGTCACTCCAAGACATCAACCTGAACACTGCTTTTGCTTCAGCTTTCAATCTTCCTCCTTTTGCTACTCTGACATTTTTCCTACAGTGCCAAATACTGAAAATATTCCGCTGAAAAAATGTCCAGGCATGAAAGAGGGCATGGAAAACAGAGCAAGAATGAAAATCAGTATCACCTGGCTCAACAGGGGCAAGATGTATAAAGCTGCAGCTGCCAGCGCCAATGCCTGCCAAATTTAAGGAGTCACTTCCCAGAATGACAAGCTGGGTGAAAGTTTCTTGGATGAACAGTGTTGTGCAGAGGACAATATAAACTGCACAGTCCCAAAGGCAGATGTTAGTTTCCATTGGCCTCTGTTATTTCATGGCAAGTGCTCTCATCATACGTTCCAATTTTAAATAGTTCTGTAGAAATTAACGCCCTCCAAGTTACTTACAAGAAAGAAATTACTTCAAACACAGATGTTCTGTTTGGATGACAGAACTATTAAGGGTTTATGTCCTCCACTTTCTATTATTTGGCTTTATCTTTCACAAAATAAAGATTTTAGTGGGTTTTTTTTTAGTGAATTTAAAAAAATGTGATCAATTGTATGTAAATTCTATATGACCTACTAAGGCTTAAAGCAATCATCTCTGTTGGACTTTTTCAAGACTGCCCTTTTAGCACCCCTTTTAATATTGAGACTGCTTTAAAACAAACTTTACCCTGATACATACAAAGCCCATTACTGTACTACAAAGCCTCCTGACTTCTGAAAGGGCTTTTCTAGGGTCACTGGATGGACCATGCTGTTTGGGGGCAGACAGCTGCAGTGTCAGGGTATATGCAAGTTCTGTAATGACTCCATGATGGGTACAACTCCAGGGCTCCACCCCTGCAGCACAGCTGTGTGGTGCGTTAACGCGCGCACGTTACATTTAGCAGAGGTTAATTGTTCACACAACCATTGTTTCCTTCTGTGGGTTTGCCTGGAAACCTTTGACGTTCTCTTTATTGTACCTCTTGCTGTGCAAATTTCCTTGTTTTGTTTTGCTTCTCAAAGTAATTTTTGGTTGATTATTGTGTAGTTACAGAATTAGAGTAATAACATCTAATTGTACATCTGAAGCAAAAACATGTAATTGTGGGAGAGTAGATTCAATTTAAAGAAAGAAAACCCCTCCACCAGGGTTTCTTGTGATTTGCACAGTGCATTTGCCAGGCAGTGCTGCTTTGATTGCATCTAACCTGCAATTAGCATGTGCAATTAAGACATAATGAATGTGTGCAATTGCATTATTTCAGGATCTAATAGTAGCAATATTTAGCAGTTACTGTACTAGACACTGTGTTTATAAGCTCAAATGATCTATCAGCATTTACCAATTATGCCACAGGAAGGAGGGCAGGTGTGTGAGTGGGTCTTACCTACAACTCATTTCCAGGATGAACATACTTCACTCTCCTGTTGAAAGGTCATGGAGGCAGCCAGGAGGGGAGACAGTCTGGGCAGATTTGGTACCATCAAAAACAGGGGACTCAAATGACACTTCCAACTTACCCTTGGCTTGTCATAGCGCTCATGTGTGACACAATAGGAGAAAGCAGACTTAGCACTTAGTATTTCTGAATTATTCTTCTCTGCCTTCAACATTTTGTATCAGTTCTGTAAGCCAAATCATGCTACCCAAGGATTTAAAAATAAAAATTATTTGAGCATGAACTAATGCTGTGATCTGCGTGTATGAGGAAGCCTCAGGCACACAACAGGTTTTAACATGCTCTTACCTGGCATTCTGGGAATACAGCTCTACCAGCCTTTTCTTAAGGATATTTCTTGTCCTTTAACAGTCAAATGATACTTGAAAAGCATCTTAATGCATCACTGAAGGATACAAACGAAAATAAGTTTCAATTCAATCTCACAGAAATAAAGATAAATCTGAATCTCTAGGCACAAACCTTAAGTATATAAACTGAGATGTTCTGAGTGTCAAACTGCTGGTGTTGAAATGAAAGATCCCAGCGATAAAACTCAGGGTCCGATCCAGTAAGGGCTTCCACTTAAATCAGTGGGAGTTAGAAGCACTACAATCATACATAGCCAGACCCTATTGATTTGTATTAATCTATCACGGAAAATCATACTAGAAGTCCTGAGACCAGGACTGCTTGTTCCAGGCATGATGATTTGTGTGAGTGATTTTGTACATGGATCCAGCACAAAATGCTCAAAATTCTCACAAGATGCATCCACTCAACTGAGAGCAAAAACTGCCTCAGCATCCCTTCTGAGTATTTCCTTCATTTCCTATTGAAAAAAGATAATTAGAAGTAGACAAAAATAATTACAAACAGGCAATGGACCAGTTTCTACACTGATTTCTATCTGTACCTCGCTACTTTCAGCACTTGGCGTAGCTTCCTGAGAGATGATGTCAGTAACTAGGAGAGGGAGCTCATGGGCCAATCCCATCTAGCTAGACAAGTAAAAAAATAAATTAAATTGCCATTTCTGCAAAAACAATTTAACTTCTGCATTTGAAAGCAAGTGTAAGATAAACTGTGACACATTTTCATCCAAGACATTTATTAAAGGTGATATGGGCACAGCACACAGATAAACCACATCCTGAAGTAAAGTTAAACTAGGTTTCACATTTTAAAGCTGTGCTGGCAGTTTGTTGTTTCTCCAGGTGGAGAACTCATGGGTACCTTCCTTATATACACCTCTGTGATTTTAGACTGATGAATGACAAATACAGCCTGTATTTATAAGGATGTCATTTACTTCACTTTTTATTAAAATCACCAGCTACAAAAAAGACATTTTGTGTATACCAGTCCTAAATAGGCAACTATGAGAAAATGACATTAATTCTGAAATTAGACCATCATATTGTGCACCTGGGACATGATAAAGGGTCAGAAATAATAGAAAATATATGGAGATTAGATAAGGTACTCACATCACACTGGCAGATTAACCTATACCTATGAAGAAATCAGCGCACATGTTTATTGAAGACCTATTTTCTGCCAACATAAGAAAAGTTCAATTTTGCTCTCATTTAAAAATACTATAGCCACTACTGCTGCAGAAAGGGACTGTGTTACTTCGGTCTGACATGTGCCATAAGTGTCACAGTATCTGGAAACAGAGAAATATACTAATAAAATAATGAGAAACAAGACAGTAATTCTTTCTTGATAGTAATAGTGTCACAAAATACCATGGACCAAATTCTTAGCTGACAGAAGGTGACATAGCTTCCCCTGAATCAAAGATCAAGTACTCACCAAAAATCTGGATCATAATCAAAACATCCTGACACTGTATTCTGTCTTGCCCTTAAAGGTCAAAATAGAGAAAGAGAAGGGGTAACAAACCCATCTAACTCAGAAGCAACAGCAAAGTCACCCCATCTGTCCAGCATCACTTGTGTCCTCTCCACTCGACCCAGAGTGGCTGGGAGGCGAAATAAGCCTTATAGGCCCTGAATTTAGTCAGGGGCTTTCCAAGACCAGGCTAGCTGGTATAGCCAGAAGCACCAGGCAATAAATGATAATTTGGGCAGAATCCAGGGGCCACATTGTGATATTCATTTTTATATTAGCATCAATGTGGGGTTTGGCTTAAAGTCCATCTCACTATAGTAGTACAAGGATATTAATTTACAGGACACTGTTAAAGGCATTTGCCAAGTGCTGCAGGGTGACTCTTACTCCTACCTACTGCTTTGATCGTATCACCTCCTTGGTTATCATGACCTTGTTAAACTTTCCATACCATCATCCTGGAGATTGGAAGTAGGAATGTCTCGCAATGTTGGATCCTAGTATAATGTGGGAAATGAAAACAAGAAAGCATTGTGTTTAATGACAGCTTTCAGCAGGACAGAAAACATTATAGCAGAAAGGTTCATATTGGTCAATGCCACCTGAAACACAGAATAAGGAACACACATCAAAACGTTATTAAATAAGTGTTGATTACAAGGTGAAGGACATGGTTATTCCCATTAGTTTGCTGCAAGAACTTCACCCCAATACATACATTTCTATCTTTATAAAATAGGTCATTTTATAGAATAAAAACACATCAAAAGTATACTGTAATTCTTAACGCAAGGACAAAGTTTAGAACTTAATTTTGCAACTTAAGATTGATCAAAAATGTTCAGATTATTCATATCCTATAATCACAGGCAGGCCTCCTCTGATCACCACCACCTTAGTTTCAGTGCCAAAATTTAAATTATATTTTGATAACATAAGAACAAGTAATCTCAAATCTCTAGGAAAATGCATGACAGATAAGTCATTTTTCTATATTCTTAATATATATTCACCATGCGTAAAAAATATACTTCTTTCAGGGAATTTTTTTTCTTTGTTGTAATTTTAAAGTGCATCTAAAAGCTGCTAAATAAATCTTTACACTTTAAAAACAGAGGAAGGTGAACAGCCTTTCAGAAATGATACGTAACTCCTGTTATTACAGAAGTAAGAAGTTCTAAGTGCTATTCCAATATTCTCAGCTCTGTGGTGGTGATATTTTGGGTGGGCAATATCAGCAAACACTGACTGGGCCCAATGATTGCATTTCATAGAATCACAAAATCAGTTAGGTTGGAAGGGACCTTAGCAGGTCATCTAGTTCAACCTGCCCAAGGCATGGTCAATACTGGTTGCTCGGGGCTTTGCTTGGGCAGAGCCTGCAAACCTCCCAGGATGGCGACTGCACAACCCCACCAGACCCCTGTCCTACTGTCTGTCTGTGCTCACAGTGGAAAACCTAGGCAACCCACTGAGTGAGGGAGCTTGAGGAACTCTTCATATAAGTTCACTATTTCCAGTCTTATCAGTGTAATCACCAACCAGGCCTCTACCCTTAAACACACACCAAACTAAAATATTTACAGTAGACAGAGTATTAACTAGCATTTTAAGGCTTGCCAAGCTAAATCTACTCCTAACAGTAACCTCAGAGGAGTATTGCCTGCATATGGAAGTGACCAGTTTGAGGTACACTGTGCACACGCACCCCATAAATAGCTGCCCTCCCTGGGACCTAGACACCATTTTCGGAAGTGCTCCCTGCTTGAGGAAACACTTCCCAGAATGGCAGCAGTGGTGCTGCAAGCACTGGCCTGTCCCTGGCCACTCTCGGCCTACATCAACGAGTGCCTTCCTGTGAAGGGGTGTTCTACCTGAAAAGCTTTTAACATCATTCAAAGCTATATGTCAAGCTTTTAACTAGCTTTCACAAATTAGCACCAGAGTGCTGCTGCAATTCTCTCTTAGTAAATGTCACACATGAGCAGCACCTGGTCCTGTGGAGCTACAGCTACAAGTCCTTAGCAAGCAGTTCAATTTCATCCAGCAAGAAGTCCATGTCCTCTCGACTAACTTGCGGGCTGATCACCACCTGGCGGAAGAAGTTGACTTTGCCCCGGTGAGGCTGGTACCCAAGCATCATGCTGCCCTTCTTCATCATCCTTTCTTTAATTATAGGAGCAACCTAAAAGTCGAGACAAAAAAGGGTTATGTCATACTCAGAAATACAGCAGATTTTGGAAGAAACTGTATTTTCTGACTTGAAGTGTCTGAGTTTTGTACCCCTTGCCTGCCTCCCCAGTATCTTCCCCAAGAAATATTAAAGCTCAGACCTGCAGGTTTAGAGGCAGCCTGTGCATTGAGACTCTCAGGTTCTGGGACTTCTTGAAGAATCAGACCAAGACCTAAAACCCTGAAAAGCCTGCTGCTCGGCACACTCATCTGTGGCATGGGAAAGCCTAGGTTAAGGTCCCTAGTCTTCCTGATTTAGATCAAAGGTTTGAACTCAGGAAAAGCAGCTACTGCAGGCGGTAAAAGGCAGGGTTTTGCTCCTTGTCCTAAGCCAAGCCTGGCTGCTCACCTTGATGGCCCTTCTCCCGCCATATCTGCAAAGAATGTCCTTAGAGGACATTCTCCGTTGAACCCCTGTGAAACTGAAGCTGTCAAAGAAGGCAGTGTGATGCAATACTAAGGGCAAAGGCCTGATCCTGGGGCTTACGATTTAAGGTGTAAGTACCATTTGGCCACCCCACTCCTGTGTTGAACGGGATGAAATCTCACAGGTGTCTCATTGCAGAAAAAGACCCCACAAGTAAGACTGGCAGAGTCAGGTCCTTATAGCTGAACACTTGATCTCACCCCAGCAGAGCTATTAACCTTGTCCAATTAATCTTGTGCTTATTTTTAAGCATGTGAGTAGTTCTGTGTTTTCATGCTTGAAATCAGTCATAAACTTGAATGCATTGCTGGATTAAACACTTCCTTGGAAGATAGAAATCAACATAAACAAGTATTTTGACAAAAGCAGTATTTTTTAAAATGTGTTGCATTTTAATATCTTACTAATAACATTAATGTATTTCAGAACAGTGCATTCCTTTCCTTGCTTTTGTGATAGTTTGACTTTGAACTAAGCAAATAGGTGTATAACCTAACCTTGGTTTCTGCATTAATTTATTTCTAAAAGTTAGTGCCAGAAACTATCACCTGATCTGCAAAAGAAAAATGATGATGCCAACCTTGCCTTAATACCATTATTTTTACATGGCACATTTTAGTAGGCAAGTCCCATACAGCTTACTTAGATGGAAACATTTGAAGATTTCAACACTAGCAGCCTAACTTTCACATATTTGCTTAGCGGTAAATGTCTAAATTACCATTGTTCCAAGATGTATATTGAATTTACAGGAGTGTTTATGGTTCTAATTTAATTTGCCTCTCTGATTTTGGTTTATCTTTGTGACAAAGCTATGTGGTTTATTTAGTGTTTGTTTTTTAAACTATGAGAATGATAAAGTCAGAATTCTAATTTAAGTCCAGACTGTGACATCAGTATGAATTATGCACATGAAAGCAATTAATATCCTTTCAGAATGCAATGTGCAACCAGAATTTTGGGGGTTAGCATATTGCAGCAAGTAAAAAATGAGAAACAGGTTGTCAAAGTAGTTCTGATAAACATTTGGGAAACAAGAAGGTAACAATGAGGACAGGAACACTGAGGTAATTCTGAGTAAGAATATGCTAAGAGGCATACTGAGATACCTTCAGTCACATTCAATAAAATCTCATGTGGAGTTCCAGGTGTGCCTCCTGCATAAAGATCCTAATGAAAGCTACCAGTGAAAACACAGTTCTGCTGTGCATCTGCAATGCATACATCATTTAGGAACACAAGTCATCAAATATATCCCTATACCATCGCCTGCCTGGGTTTATATCTGCCTAGCAAATGTGTCAAGGATTCCTCAAATTTCTTTTTTTATAGCTCAGAATTACTTCAGAGTAACCTCATTTAGTCCATACTCAAGAAAAAAAAACCCAAACAAGCACTGGAGTTCTACTCCAGGATGACAGACAGGTAGCCATTTTGCCTGAGACAGCAACCTTCATCCTGAAAAGTATATTACTCAGCAAATGATCCTCTCTGCTTCAGACCAGATATTCCAAATGGCATCCTAACAAATCGCTGAATGCTCTACTGTTCAAAACCTGGGCCTCATAATTGTTCTTGCACAATTTGCCAGTGGTGGAGACAAACAGCAACACTCCTGGTTATGCATACTAATGTATGGACCTGCAACATACGTTCTCTTAAACAGTATTCTCTCAACTTTGGTTTTAAATTTTTTAAGTTTTCTTAACATAGCCATGATAAAAATTATTCTACTTTTCCTACAGTTTTCCTGTGTTGAACCCTTTAGCAGCACACAAGGCTTCTAAGAGCTTTACTCTTCCATTTTCATTCATGCCAGCTATGGGCTGAGATAGCAATGACACTGTGACGATGCTCAGAAGACATTGTGTCAAGGAGGCATTGAGCTGGGCACCATATACACACAGAAAAGAAAAAATTTCTCCACCCCTGTACTTGACAAAAAACCCCAAGTGACTTCTGCTCGTGAAATAAAGACACTACAAGTGCAAGGGGAGAAGTGAATTCTTCTTAATATACTTTCTCAAGCTCTTCCTCAAGATTCAAATCCCTATGGCAACTTTTAGCCTTTATTGATGTTCCATCAGAGTTATTTCATCTTTTGTATCACACTATTGATTCTCTTCATCTCGACATCCAGTGCTCCATAATCCATCATCCCAAAATGTGCAGCAGCACAAATGGAGACCATGAAAGCAAAAACATTTAGAGCTTCAGTAATTTGAGGACTGCAAATATACTGCATTTCAGTAGGTCTTCTCTCATGGAAAGGAAAGGTAGAAAAATCTCACTTTTGTTATCTCATTTATTATCTCATTCGTCCCACAGGCTAATGAAGTTATTCTCTTAATTTGAAGTGCACCCATCCCTTTTTGAAGGCAAAACAAACACCTCCTACTTAAAAGAAACAAAACATAAACCCGTTTTATGGGCTTTTGACATAATTATTTTTTGAAATATTTTCCATCAAGTATTTTGCACGTTCTATTTGCTAACGTGATGCTGTCAATGTCATGGACCCTACCCACAGAAAGCAGTACGGAAAAAAATATATGCACAAATGCTTAAGTGCATGTCTTGCAAAAGAACCATTAAATGATACATGCATGCTAAGGCCTGGACTTGAGGAGCACAGGGTATGACTGCTCACTGAAAGTAAAGGCTGGTACTATTTTGCAGCAGAAAAATTAGACCTATAAGAAGCTAATTGCCTAGTGAGGAGTTCAATGTGTTTAATTCCCACTCAAGTCAATGAGACTGGAGGATGCTCAAATATGAGAAAGACCTGCACAGCCTCATTCAGGATAGGGTCCTCGGAAGGCAATTTAGTGAGAGTGAGATTGCTTCACCAGTCCAATTATTTTACTACAGAACTTACTTCAAATTGTAAATCTAATTTTTTATGTGGCCCGTCAGAGGGACAATCTCAGAATTTTAAGTGTAATGTATTCTAAAACTGAAGTCCTCTTCTCTCCTTTGCTCCCTTCACCTCTCCCTTCCCACCGCTGGCCTCCCCCGCCAATCCATGTTGGAGATTATTATTTCAAACATTCCCTTCAGCAGCTTAACAGCTATCAGACATGCCCTTCTTCCACCTTTGAAGGTGGGGAGGAGGTACAGTGCATGGAAGGCCATCACGCAGCAGAGCTGCACACTGTGCAACCAGAGGCCCAGGGAACTGCTTTGCCTGAGGACTGATGTGTGTGCATCAGTCTCATGGTGCAGACCTGCACAGAGGCTGTAACATCTTGTGCTTCCCTTCATATTAATAGCAGAGTTTTAAAAACTAGACCAAAAATTACATATCAGTTTAGCTCCTTCTCCATATACCTGGGTGACAGGATAATACCTTCTCCCACTCTCAGCCAGCACTCAGCCACACTACGAACAACAGAAAATTTTAGCCCTAAAGTTTAAGCTGTTTCTTTCAAGAGACCAGCCCACAGCTGAACCCCTTATATATTCACACAGAACATGCCAATGCTCCTTCTCAGCACATACACACACACAGAGCAGCATGATAAGTAGCCAAAACCACCTTGGACACTACAGCTAAAGTATTTAGCGTACCAGGAGGATCAGGAAAGCAATATATCTCCTTCTCCATATCCCAAGCATCCTTGAGAATAGCTGTTCTGCACAATCATACCACACAGGGATTCCTTAAAAACCACTGTGTTCCCCCTAATTGACTTCTTAGTGGCATTCAAGGAAAGTTTCTCCAACACTTCAAGAATTTCCACCAAGCTCAGGCTTTGACACTCTTTGGCAACCACCATTAAAGACTGACTCATCAATGGAGTTGAGCACAATATCAGCAGCAGAAGCATGTACTTAGTGTCTCCAAGAGCTAGTTCCCAAGTTTGGACACTTAAAATCCTTTCAGAGGACTTGTTGAAACACCTATTTGAGAGAATTTCTTCTTCCAGCTATCAAAGCCTCTGAAACCATTCTCTTTGTAGTCAAGCTATGTAACCCTGGTTCTTAACCTAAGAAAACTTCCTAGCACATTGCTTTCTTGTGTTAAGTGACATCTCCAGAGCAACTCTGTTAAATAGGTGATGTTCCCACCCCATTAGTCACGGCACAGTATTATGTTTTGGAATTCATTTACTGTAAGCTGCCTCCTGTCGAACACTTGTAATTAGAATTGATTTGCAAAAGTTTATTCTAACTGAACACACAAAAAAAAAAATCAGAATAAGATAACAAAGTGTCTAGCTTTTTTAATCAGACAATCCTATTAACTTCTGAAATTCATACTCCATTATTAACAACTTATAGTTCAAGTCCTATACTTAGTCCAAAAGAGCTGATGCTTTCTGGTGACAAGGGACAGAAAAGAGTAATGTACCTTTTTTGCTCATATGAGGTAAATGCACTGAGCCCCCAGCCCCAACTGCACTAACGCTGCTGCTTATGGATAGCCAAATAAGTTGTCCTAAAGAGAAGCAGAATTTCCCAACAAGTTTGTTACCTTGTTCTTCTTGCTGAAATAAAGAAAAAAAGCACCTACTGGTTTTAAT